ATATATATATATATATATATATATATATATATATATATATATATATATATATATATATATATATATATATATATATATATATATATATGCTACAATATAAAAATCTTTCATGGATCAAAATTGAATTTTTAATTTTTGAATAAATTAGTTTATTGATATGGTATCGGAGCCTTGTTGACTAAGAGGTCATGAGTTCGAAATTTAACTCCACCAAATTTTTAAAAAAATAATGTTCACATGCAAGGTATGAGCAAAAACAAATCTCAGCTCGTCTACATATGAAGGGCGTGGTAGAATATAAAAGCTTTTCTTGTACCAAAAGCTGCAAGCTTGAGCTTTTGGTTAAATCGATATCTTGGCAATATGTGACATCTTTTACTACCTCCGTCCTAAAATTAACTTCCCATTTGACTTTTCACGGTCTCCAATGCGACACTTTGACCATCAATATCTCACTTTTTATATAAATATATTTTATAAAAATTATATATTTTAAAACTATGTTTCAAAATGAATGTATTTCTAATACATTTATATGAAAATTCAATGTATTTTTTCCGTAATATACGTTCAAAATTTAAAAAGTTTGACTACAAAAGTCAAACTGAGAAGTTAATTTTAGGACGGAGAGAGTATTTTGTACACTCTCCGTCCCAACTTAAATTGTCTTTTTCTATTTAATGAAGTTTGACTGAAATTATTTTCAATTCATTTCATTTGAAAATTGGTGTGGAATTAAAAAACAAAATTATATATTTAAAAATTACATAAAAAATTCTACAAACTAGAGATGACAATGTGACATGATTATATTATTTTATCAAATGAGCAGTGAAAATGGGTATGAAGAGCGAATAAAATTTGACCTTGTGAATAATAAATCAGTAACTTAAATTAGAATGGAAGAAGTAGTTCCTCGGTCTCCCTACTTTAATTTTGAGACCTTAATGAAATGACACAAAAACTAGGAAATTTAAGTTTGTATAATTTAAGAACTCTCAAATCTTTTTTGTGTCTTAATTCTTATTACATCTCCAACTCTCAATTTTCTTGAGAATAATAATATAACAAAATTTTGAAATTGAAAACTTAATTTGATGAAAGACCTAATTTATAAAGACAAACTAGAAGAATTGTAATTAGGGCATGAGAATCAGGGTATGATAATTATGTATGAAGTAACTATATATACAAGACTAGGATGTTAAGAACGAAAGAAATGTGTTATCTCAACAAATTAGAAATCTTAAGAGTAAATTTACAAAATAGTTCTTTGTAATAAAGTATTTTCTCAATTCAATCCTTAATATGTTTTAATTACCTACGTGGTCTTCTATAATTGAGATTTATTCCCTATACAGTTCTCCGTATGTAATGTTACTCAAATGATGATTAATTGGAAGTATTTTGATATTTCTATCATCTAAATTTAAAGTATATTCTCAAAACGGTCATTTCTGTATAACTAAATATAAAATTAAAAAATACATTGACTATACATAATCCATGATTTACTAAAAATTTATTTAAAAATCTTTTAAATTTCAAATCAAATAAACATCTTTAATTAGAAAAAACCATTTTAGAAAGAAATTCATTAGAACATCAATTATAGAGGACCATGTAGGTAATTAAAACTTATTGAGGACACATTCGGGAAAACACCTTATTAGAGATTATCATTTTGGAAATTCATTCAAGTCTTAATTATGTTTGGAGTTATGCTATTGTGGACCTTCTCACATATTTTCAATAGGTTCGGACTTGTATCTCCTTAATTTTACAAGGCCCATCGCGTAAAATTATTTTATGTGTGAACGTCCATAGAATGAGAATGGACTTAAGAACAATAGAAGAATCTGCCTTACGTGTTTAAAGACCATTTCTAAAATAATTTCTTTGTAAGGATTCCTTAAACCTTTTTTACAGTCGTTTATTTCATATAAACTAAAAACATATCTTTAACTCTTATATATATATATATATATATATATATATATATATATATATATATATATATATATATATATATAAATCTCTCGTATTTACCGTGTTTTATATATATATATATATATATATATATATATATATATATATATATATATATATATCGTATTTACGTAGTACTCGTTACTTTCTAATTCTACATGTACATTCAAATAATTTGAATTAACTCTTGCAAAACATCTTTAAAAGAATTATAAGTGGACTATTATTTATTAATGTTCCGTTTGGTATCGGCATTAGGAGTTAGCGTTAGTATTTTAAAAAGGTTAGTTGACATGAACGGACGCTTTTTCAGAATTAATTTATATTATTAAAATTTTATCCAAAACACTAACGCTAATTGAAAATGATATTTCCAAACAAGGCCTAAAAACATAAACAAGATATTGCCAATTCACACCTTAGTTCCTACTTATTGATATGAGGCAAAGTTAAAGTTATTTTGAATTTATTATTTTTAAACCATTTACTTTTTAATAAACAATTTTTTTTTAATAAATAAATAGTACTAGTAGCTATTATACTTTAATAAACAATTTTTTAATTCAACACGCACTTTGAAATATATTAATATATTAATCTACTGATAGATACAAATTATCAAAGTATAATGCAGAGTATATCAAAATAATATTTCGAAATGAACTTATTAATATTAAAATTATAACACAATTTACCCTAAGCCATATTAAGGCTAAAACTGTGCTCACATGTAGTGTTATACTCCCTCCGTCCTAATATTAATTTCTCATTTTGACTTTTGCAGTCAAAGTTTTTAAACTTTGACTGCATATTACGGAAAAAATACATTGAATTTTCATATAAATTTAGTATCAATAGATTCATTTTGAAACATAGTTTTAAAATATATTATTTTGATAATATATATTTTTATAAAATTGGAGATATTAATGGTCAAAATGCCGCATTGGAGACCGTGAAAAGTCAAATGAGAAGTTAATTTTAGGACGGAGGGAGTAATAACTTTACGATTATTGTCNGTGCTCACATGTAGTGTTATACTCCCTCCGTCCTAATATTAATTTCTCATTTTGACTTTTGCAGTCAAAGTTTTTAAACTTTGACTGCATATTACGGAAAAAATACATTGAATTTTCATATAAATTTAGTATCAATAGATTCATTTTGAAACATAGTTTTAAAATATATTATTTTGATAATATATATTTTTATAAAATTGGAGATATTAATGGTCAAAATGCCGCATTGGAGACCGTGAAAAGTCAAATGAGAAGTTAATTTTAGGACGGAGGGAGTAATAACTTTACGATTATTGTCTACTAAGGCTAGCTGCCATGTGATATGATGTTAATCCATCCCCATCACCTTTAATTTTAGAAACTAATTTTAAAATTAACTTT